GCAGAGGACCAAATCTCCAGCACAAATGAGCTTCCAGACTCAGAGATTTCGATGGTGGCAAATCCCTCAGTGGGACCCGAGCCTGGGGACTGCCAGGGTAAGATTCTGTCCACGTTACTGAGCACCTCAGGGCCCAGGTCTCCACACCTGGAAACAGGGTTGTGCTGTAGACCTGGCTGGATGGTTGAAGCCCTTGAAACCAAAGGGTCCAGAGGAAGCTGGAGTGACATGCCCGGCCCCGTGAAAGCCCTCAACCTGGGCAAGGGCCCGTCGAGGAAGATGGCCCAGGACCTAACCGCCTCCAAGTCCCCAGGCCTGGCCTCCCTGGCCTAGTGGCCGGCACACTCCTCTGGACACTGGTGGGGTCCTGCAGCTCATCCTCGGCTCTCCAAGAGCTCGGGGGCCTCCAGGAATTCCAGGGCGCCAGGGCTTGGCCACTGGGACCCCACCAGGCCCAGGAAAGCAGGATCACAGCTCGACCCCTGAAGGGCACCCACCAGTGAACCGGTGGCGCCCCCGGTGTGGTCACGAGTGTTGGGGAGCTCATCCCCTGCAAAGGGGCAGCAGACCCTCAGATCCCGCCAAGCGGGTTGGTGGGAATGCTGCCGGCGTGGCCAGGCTTCCTGGGTTTTCCAGAACAGCCAGATGTCTGGTTTACCTGTGAAATCTCTACCCTTTCAATTGTTGAAAATGAATTCAGGAGTCTCAGCTCCACACCAGTGGCCTGAGGGCCGCTGATGGTTGGTGACACTCGCAGGCCGGAGGCCCTAGGACAGCAACACACACCAGGCTCGTGTTTGAGGGTTTGCAGAAAGAAAGCCCAGGGCTCTGGACAGGAGGGACAGTGTCAGGAGCTGTGACAGCCAGCGGCTATCAGATACCAGCCAGCAGGGCGGTACAGAGACTTACTCCAGGCTCTCATAATTCAAAGCAAAGAAAAGTGTCAGACACCTTGTACCTCACTCATTCATTCATCCAGCCACCCGCAGGGTGAGGGGAACTGAATGGGCAGCTCCTGCCCGTCTCCCTGCCGAGCCAGCTCGTCCCCCGTCACAGTACAAATCACCTCAAGTGGCTGAGTCAGAATCACCGGGGTGCCTAATAACACACGTCTGGTTTGTGTGTGGGTGGGTGCGTGTGTGCGTGTGTGCGCGCGTGCACGGGGGTGTGTGTGGGGGGGACACTGTTTTGAGCCCTCAACATTTACTAACTCCTTTATTCCTCATAAACACTGATGAGGTAGGCCAAGTTATCCACTGTTCTTAGATTTCAAAGGCGAGGGAAGGGAGGCACAGAGAGGTTAAGGAACTTGCCTGTAGTCACACAGCCAATGGTGGAGGCGGTAGCCCCACCCCTGGTGGTCCAGGGGTCTTCAGAGGGGCAAGGGAGGCAGTGTCTGTCACAGGCCCTGGATAACTCTGCCCACCTATTTGAATATTTGATGGCAGGAGCGCCATGTGGGACAGGGATGCTCAGATTGCCTGATGACAACGGCCACTTGGGAACTTGTTAAAAGTCCAGATTTCTGGGCCCTGCCCTGGGAATCCTGAGGCAGTGGGCCTGCAGTCCAGAATCTGTAACTTTCAGGACACCCCAGGGGACTCACCCTGAGCAAGTTTGGGAACCAGTCCCTCAACACCACACAGAGACGCTGCCCACCTTCGCTGACCACTGCAGGCCTCACACTGGGCTCAGCACACAGTAGGTGCTGAATAAATGTTCGGTGAACGCCCCAGCCAGCTGCCCTNCGCCCCCGTCGGCCCCGCCCCCGGCTGTCCCGCCCCTCTCCGCCCCTGCCGCGCTGCGGGCGGGGCGCACCCTGGGAAGTGTAGGCGCCGCTACGCCGGCGCTCCGCCTTCACGCCCCAGTCGCCGCACCGACGGACTGCAAGTCCCAGCTGGCCGCGCGTCCGGCGCATGCGCAAACGGACGACACAGCTGCGGTCTTTCGCAGCCACTCGTGGGCCTGCGGAGCTGTCACCGAGGCCTCGCTGGCGGCCTGGCTATTGCCAGCTCTTGGAAACCGGGGGATAGCGAGGAGGGCGCCCTAGGAGAAAGCGAGCTTGGTGCAGCTCTTGTTGAGTCGCTAGGAGTCTCGAAGACCTTCTGAGCCAACCCCCTTCTTCCCCAGTTTTCGGAGAGGGAAACTGAGGCAGGAAGGGGCGCGGCAGGATTGGCCCACCTCCATGGCGAGGCTTGAGCAGGCTGCGATACTGACGCAGGACTCCTGACTCCAGGTCTAGGGCCGCACACCCCAGGTTCCCGGGGCGCCGCTCCGGCTGGGGCCTTAGTCTGGCTGGGGTGGCGCCTAAGAAGGGGGTGCGCCCCCCGCTCCCCCTCCCCAGGGCAGGCTCCGTTCCCAGTCCCCCTGCAGTGACGTCAGGCACGCAGCACAGGGCATGGGTACAGGAGAGGGAAAGCCCCTGGGTGGGAGCAGGAGGACCCTGCTGGCGCCTCGTGCTGACAAAAGGGGTCTGCAGAGAGCGCAGAGGGCCTGGACGGGAGCCTTTAGGAGGCAGAATGTCTGGGGCCTGGCACTGCATGGGGAGAGAGGCCACAAGTGATCGAGGGCTGGCCACCGAAAATGGGGACTCTGAATGGGATACCAAGGCAGGAGGAGATATTCTTCTCCGGTTGCCATGGCTCCTGGGGAGCGCCAAAGTCTTGCAGAACCAGCCATGGGCAAGGCCGATTGGCCTCAGCCCGGGAGGCCTGGCTGGGTGGCTGGGTCAGCAGCTGCGGGGCTCCAGTGCCTGCCCACTGGGGCCTTGTGCCCAGAACACTAGGGTGATGTGATGGAAGGAGCGCTAGAAAGGGACAGATGCCCTGTTCCCAACCCAGCTGTCCCATCACAGTGGGGTGCCTTGAGCAGTTCCCTTCCCCTCGGGGCATCAGGGCCCAACCTGTGAAGTGTTTGAGTGAAGGACCCACTGTTGGCTGAGAACATCACATTTGGGTCATTGGTCCTGGCTAGGGCAGATGCCAGCCATTAGGGGTGGAAGCCCCCAGGGCCTGACCACCTGGTAGGGAGCCTGGCTTCACCTGCTCATGCAAGGTGTCTAACTCTGTGCCTCAGGGTTCACCATTGGACCTGATAGCCATCCCCACCTTTTAGGGTCGTTCTGAGGACGACATGAGCTAACGCGTGCCGTTCCCCAGACATCGGTAAATGTCTTTGATATCATTGTGCTATTATTACTATTCTCAGTGACTTGCACTGGGCCTGGTACAAAGTGAGAACTCCACAAATATCTGTTGAGTAAAGGGAGCGAAGGATGGAGGGAGGGAGAGAGGGTGGGCGCACCCCTGCCACCCGTCGCCCTCTTTAAGCGGCTCTCCGTCCGGTTCCCCACAGCCCTGTTTCTTCCCTGGCAGAAGCATCAGCCCCACATGTCTCCAAAGGCTCCTTCGAGCCTCCTGAAGGTGTGTGGTTTCCTCTACACAGCCTGGTGACATTGGCTGGGAGGTCACCATCACACCAGTTGCCCAAGGGAGAAACCAAGGTGTGGACCGGCACTTACTCCCGGGTCCCTGTGAGTCAGAGGGCAGGTGTGAGAGGCCAGTTACTGGCTGGTCCCAGGGCGCAGCCCTCCCTGTGGCCACCCAGCCCTCCTGATGGGACTGGCCCTGCTTCTCCAAGCA